GCTCCAAACATGAAATCTGTTTTTATTTCGTCTGATCTGAGCTGCAGGTTTATGACGTTAGTAAGGTGAGTCAGGTATGAATGTTTCCTCTGTATATTAACGCTCAGTTCTGCTGTATTTTGCACTTATAAAGCGAAAGTTTTTGCAATAAACTGCTGCATCTGAACCACAATATCACAGCATAATTACACACCACTCAGTGTGATACACTCACCTCTTACTGTTCATTAACACTTCATTTAAAGTACGTAAATAAATGTTATTTATACAACGGTCATAAAATCTGATTGGCTGAGCCGTGTTTGAAGCCGTTCTAAAATCCACAATATACACACAGCTATATACGCAGAGCCAACAGCCTAAACAGCTCCATCATTAATATCACAGGCTTAAATTAAAGTACTTACAACGTGATTCACTGTAAAACTGCAGTATAAAAGACTAAAAATGTCACTTTAATGTTTTACACACTTCAAATGTTCGTGTTTCAGTCAGAAGTTGCATCAAATCCAGGCTGAATCCCAAACGGCTCTGTACTCCCTAAATAGTGTTCTAGCTATGAAAGTTTAGAAATTCTAGCCTCTACAGCCAAACAGTGCATCATGTATCGAGTGTGGATGAGTCTGAGTCCCAAATGACTGTTTCTTAGCTGTATTTGGCTCTGTTGGGCTGCAGGATCCAGTATTTAAACTCCTACGTAGTGCACTATGTAGGGAGCAGGGAGCTGTTTGAGATTCAGCCCGCAGTGTGTGAAGAGGAGCCGCTGTATTGGTGCTAAATAAGACTCATGGTGGTGATTTGGAGACTCATGGTGGAGATTTGGAAAGTACTAATAAAGTGAAGGTTTCTGCATTAAACAGTGCTGTGTTATCATATGTTCAAAAAATTCATATGTTTAAAAATTTATAAAATGACCACGATTTACAGCCATGGGCCACCGAACGTTCTCCTCATTCAGTGGTACATGGTTTCATGGCAACGATACGTATTCTAAAGGAACAACATTTCTTGGCGGAATACTTTTTTATGTAGATTATTATTAATAAAAACGTAAATTATTTTCTGAAAAAATGTGTATTTAATCATATTTTATGTTGGTTGTGTTTTATAAAAGCAATAAACCATTTGATGCTTTGCGTTACAGTGTTTTTATCACAGTGAAGGGTTTTACTCCGCTTCACGTCCTGCCTAATAACATATGATATATTATGAATTATAATATAATATATTATGAATTATAATAGAAAGTGCTGGAAATGTACGAGTATATTTAATGTGTAATTCAGTCCCCACACTTTGAGCTTCAGGCAAAAAAAAACATAATAAATGATTAATAAACACACCTTCTTCTCTCCTCCTGCTCTCTCTCTCTCCTCCACCCGTCCATTTTTGGGGTCTCTGTCCCACCTCTGCACGTCTCCCAGGCACGTCACCGTGGTGACGAAACTCAGCCTGAGTCCTCGCGTCTCATTGGACGTCTGGAGGTTCCTGAAGGCCACACCCTGTTTACTGTCCACGCGAAACAGCAGCGACACGCAGGGGTCAGAGGACGCGGACGCTGACCCCACCGCGCTTGGGTCGTCACAATGGTTACTGTGGTCTCTGGGCTTTTTGATGCATCTTTCTCTCCTCTCTTCTGTTTCCCTCTTCCTCTTCATCCTCCCAGTCTGGGCTGACTGACCGCTGCACTCATCCATCTGAATGCCCTCCTTCACTCCTTCTTCTTCTTCTCTCCTTCCATCACGTTGCTGTCCTTCTTTCACACCTGCTGTCCTCCCTCCTTCCCTCCTTCGCTCAGAGAGGATGGTGCTCATGGAGGCTGAGGGGCTGAGGATGTGCAGGTCTTCCATACACACCTGGATATAAACCCTACAACACACACACACACACACACACACACACACACACACACACAGAGGTGAACACTACAGATGTCACTATGTAAGTTTTGGGGATTTGGAGCCCCCTCTGGTGGAAATGTGTAACTGCACGCAACATGTGGAGGAACATTTAGTACCGTGGTTTGTGTTTCGCCCTCCTTCCCAGAGCAGATGAATCTGATGATTGTCATCTTCATCAGTGTGATGTTGATTCTGAGATCATTTGAGACCTAAACATCGAGTCGGACCTTCTTTTTGAGTCTGTGTGTGACGTTAACATGTAAAGACGTACGACGTGGTGTGAAAAACTCCTGACCCGACGTCTCTGGCTTTTAAACCATTATTTCAGGCTAACAGGGCGACTCGTAGCAGCGCACGCTCACCATAATTTAGTGTGATTTACTCTCCTCACTCAGTAAAGCTGCAGTCGTAGGCAAATGTTTGAAAACCCCACAACAAACTGCGTGTTTTGTTGCTTTTCTAAGTTCAAACACAGAACATAACAGGAAAACAAACTCAAATATTTAAATTTATTTCCTGAAATAACAGTAAAATAGAAAACCTAAAACATAAAATGTGCCATAACTTGCAGAGGCCATATCTCATGTTTTATGTTTTACCTCAATCTATTAAATTGTGCACTAAATACGTAACTGTGCATCAACGTGCACAGAAGTGTTTTCTGTAGAGATCACTTTCAGTTATCTTCACTTAGAAAATCAACAACAGCGACTGCAGATCCAGCTCCAGCCTGCAGTCTGCAGTGATGTGCGCAGGTGCAGGTGTGGCTGCACTGTGTCTCTGTACCTGCAGTGTCTGTGTGAGATGTGTCTGTGTTGGTCCAGGTGTTTCCAGGAGGGGAAATCCGTCTTCAAGAATCTCTCCATCACTAAAGTACACCGCCGGATACACACCAGACAACCTGCAACACACACACGCAGCCACACACACACAAAGAGATACACACTAGTGTCACATGACACATTTTTAAAGGAGCAAATATTTATGATAACCAATCTCAGCTGATATAATTAAAAGGGGAATTCTACCCAGTTTTTCAAAATTTCTGCACAATTCAGCATTTAAGATGTAGACAGAGAGATTCAGAGTGGTTTGGTGTGAAATGGTTCAGATGTCTTTACAGTGGTGGTGATAGGAACCAGGGGTCGCCATGACTACAACACAGATATAGACATCTTATTTACTATCCAGAACCACCAGTGAACCTACACGAGTCTTGCTCGAGTGTCTGTGTGTGTGTGTGTGTGTGTGTGTGTCTGTACCTGTCCAGGCGGTGTTGATGGCTGTGTACTGATCTTCTGACTGGTTGTTCTCCACACACACACACTCCACAGCGGCGCTCTGGTCCACCAGCCTCACGCTTGCTCTGCTGGAACTAAACTCCAGAACGCCCACCAGCAGCCGGTCAGTGTGTGCGGAGCCAGAGTGCATCAGCAGCGTGTGTGTGGACCAGCTGAGCAGTGGGTTGAGCTGAGCTTGGGTCAGATAGGGGGCCGAGGGGGGGACGAGCGAGGAGAGAGAGAGAGACTCCCAGGACTCCTTCTCCATCCAATCACAGAGCTCCCTCACTGACCACACACACACACTAGGACTGCCCACACAGTACTGAAACACACACACACACCCACACACAGATATGTTATATCAGTTCAATTATATCAGTCCTAGCAATTCAATCAATCATATCAGCCAAAGCCCACAAAAAAACAACCACCACCTTTACGATAATGCTGATTCCCGCTAGCCCCCCTATGAGATTTCTAGTAGTATGTTAGCGCTAAGATAACGCTGGTTAATCCAGATTAAACAGAGATATCCAAAGCCTGTAGAAGTAAATCAGAGCGCCCCCTCTGGTCTGCATGTGTAAGCTGTGTTTATATAGAGTACAGTGTGTGTGGGTGACCTCAGTTAGGGGGCAGCTGTGAGGGTCCTGCAGCATCTCTCTGTAAATGTCTCTCTTCTTTCTCTTCTTCTCTTCTCCTAAAACAAACTGCAGCAACCGTCCAGCCACCACACACACACGGCCCTCACACACCCACCGCGGACACAGCCTGGGGGGCAGAGAGAGAAACACACACACCTGAACTCTGATATCTGATTGGCTGAGCCACATTAGCACATGTGACCACAGACAGCACCTGAATTCTGTATTAAAGTGTTTTATGAACCAAAAACAGCCATAATTCATTTAAATATGTCCATTTTCCAACTTCTGCTTTATCCCCAGAACTAAACAGACCATCTCTGTTACTGTGCCTTTAAGACTGACAGGAGCTCTGTTCTGATTGGCTGTCCTGAATTAAAAACAATTAAAACAGTCCTGAGAACTTCAACGTGAATGGGACGGAGCTAAACTGCTGTGAACTGCTCTTTGATTTAATTTAAAGACAGACAGACTGACTGACTGACTGACAGGCAGACAGACAGGCTACAGACAGCAAAGACAGGCAGACAGGCTGCCAGACAGGCTGACCCACCTCTCGGTCAGCGCTGCGTGGCAGTAGCACAGCCACAGGAACTCAGATACTCCCAGGTTTCTCTCTAACAGGTAACACAGCAGCGGACCGTCTGACCTCAGAGTCGCGACCTTTGACCTCAGAGGACTGAAGGCCATCACACACACGCTGGAGCGCAGACACACACACAGCACGACGTCAGGAAAGAACGGGGACGGACGGAACAGGAAGTGGACGTTCTGAAGCTGAGAGAGAGAGACAGAGACAGAGAGAGTACAGAGACAGAGAGAGAGAGAGAGAGAGAGAGAGAGAGAGAGAGAGAGACACACACACAGAGAGACAGAGAGAGAGTACAGAGACAGAGAGAGAGAGAGAGAGAGAGAGAGAGAGACACACACACAGAGAGACAGAGAGAGAGTACAGAGACAGAGAAAGAGAGAGAGAGAGAGAGAGAGACAGAGAGAGAGACACACAGAGAGACAGAGAGAGAGTACAGAGACAGAAAGAGAGAGAGAGAGAGAGAGAGAGAGACAGAGAGAGAGAGAGAGAGACAGAGAGAGACACACACAGAGAGACAGAGAGAGAGTACAGAGACAGAGAGAGAGAGAGAGAGACACACACACAGAGAGACAGAGAGTACAGAGACAGAGAAAGAGAGAGAGAGAGAGAGAGAGAGAGACAGAGAGAGAGACACACAGAGAGAGAGAGAGAGAGAGAGAGAGAGAGAGACAGAAAGAGAGACACACACACAGAGACAGAGAGAGAGTACAGAGACAGAGAGAGAGAGAGAGAAAAAGATAGAGAGAGAGAGAGAGAAAGAGACAGAGGGAGAGACAGAGAGACAGAGAGAAAAAGAGAGATAGAGAGAGAGACACAGAAAGAGAGAGAGTGAGGTCTATGGAGAATCATGCCTTTAGGCAGCAGACAGGTTCTGAACTGACAGGTTCTGGACAGCAGGTTCTGTACTCACAGGTTCTGTACCCACAGGTTCTGTACCCGCAGGTTCTGTACTGTGTGGGACAGTTTTGTGTGCTCACCTCGATCTCCGCCCCCGGTCTTAACCCGCTGCACCACTTCCTCAGCGGCTGATAGGCTAAACACAGCCCCACCTTCCTGTCAATCTCATAAAGCCCCGCCTCCGCGTTCAGGACACTGGAGATCCGGCCCTGTCAATCACACACTGCTGCCTTAACACAGGGATTCACTTAAAACCTCACACATTCACAGCCTGGAGCAAAACCTCATATTTCTCTTTTTTTAGGTTTTGACATAATCTGAAAACACCTGTTGTCCTTTACATTGTGTGTAAATTTCATCATTGAACAAACAGATGAACTTAATACGGGACAGCTTTGAGAGTCTTTTACAGAATGAAGAGTCAGTATTGATCCACTCAGCACTGACAGCTTCAAACACCTGAAGACCATCGCTGAGCTAGTTTGGGTTTAATGTGAGACCAAATATTCACTGTAGGGCTTAAATCTGGACTCACTGGGCCTCATTTACCAACCGTTCTTAAGGAGAAATTTCTTCTTAAAACCCACTTACGCAGTTTGTACGAAGACTCTGACATTCACCAGAGTTCTATTATGTGGGGTTTGTTCTTAGGTAAGAACAGAATCCACACACACTCAAGAGGTGAGAACAGTTCTGCGCTTTAAGAACACGTCATGAATCTGACGCAGGCCTTTTCTCAGGACTCAGGAGGATGGTGGAGAATGAGGACCGTTATAGTGTATATACACACAGATACATGTTTTATATAACTGAAGAATTTTGCTTTTGAAATACCTGTTTTTGTGAGAAAAGGAGGGTTTGTCCAAACTTCAGTGTCCAACCTGTAGTGTAAGTAACTGAAATGGTCAGTTTAGGCTGGTCAGTGTCTGTAAACTCACCCTGTAGCTGATGATTCTGGAGAGTTTTCTCCTCACTGGATAAACACTGTCTGCCGGACCGGCGCCCCCCTGAGCCGGGTCACCTTCAGAGTGTGTGTCCTCCTGCAGGCGTGTGTCTGTCAGTGACTGTGGTCTGTGTGGGTCAGGTTCTGAGTGTGTGTGTGTGTCTGATTGTGAGTCTGATTGTGAGTGTGTGCGCGAGTCTGATTGTGAGTGTGTGTTTTCAGAATCTTCCTGGGCGTGTGGGTTTGGATGGAGGCGGGAATGTGACGTGACGGACAGCACTCTGTGCCCCGCCCACCCACGGACAGAACACACACGCAGCGCTGAAACACACACACTCTGGCCCACACACACACACTGCCTCCAGTACACACACTCAGGGTCCTGAGAGACGGAGACAGAGACGCCATCGATCAATCAATCAATCAACCAATCAATCAACTGATATTAACAGACACTCACAGTGACCAGTATGGGTACAGTGGAATCCCCTTCAGCAAGAATAAGGCAGAAGAAGCTTTTCCCAGCGATGACCAACAGGGGGCAGACCACACCCACTTCTCCACTCACACATACACGCACACCTGCACTGACCCTACAGAGAGAGAGAGAGAGAGAGAGAGAGAGGGAGAGTCAGTATATAACTCTAACTACTGTAATAATGTATGATGCATGCATATAAATGTTTAATAAGTGTTATAAGTATTGTTATAACATATTATTATATTAAAGCAATAAACCACAAGAAAACAGTGAGTTACTGTGATTTTACCACAATTAACAGGTGTTAAATAATACATTTAATTAATTATTAATAAAAATTCTATCATCAAGCAGTGTGGTCTGATGATGCGTGCGGTTGCCAAGCAACAAATCAAAAGATTATTTCGTGTATTTTTGGTGCCAAAGAGCTAAATCTCCCTTACTTCTGCCTCAGCAGCCTGGCCGCCTTTCTGACCCCGATGACCTCACTCAGAGTCTCTGTGGGGTCAGACGCTGTTGGTTCAGGGATCACACAGATAGGAGATTCAATAAGCTCTAAGTAGCCCGATTCCTGTCCAGGTGCATCCTGGGAGATGTAGTTCCATGTGGGGAAGAGCATCAGCTTCCCCAGCCAGAGAGGGGAGGACTTCAGCACCTTCAGACACAAAACACAGTTATGGTAGTTATTTCAGCCTGCACTGCTTTCTGAACAAGGCACAATACGGGACAACCAATCAGAACAGAGCTCATTTACATACTTCAGCCTTAAAGGCACAATAACAAATATAGCCTGTTTTGTTCTAAGGGATGAAGAGAGGCTGGAAAATGGTCACAGAAAGGAATTAAGACTGTTTTAGTACTTAAATCAACACAAATATCAAAGAAATACAAGAAATGGACAAAAATGTGTCGAAAATTATGACTATAATAATAAGAAGAAGATCCAGTTCAATAACGATAGTGTCATGCACTGGTTTGCAAACCGCAATCATTAATTAGACGCAGCTATGTTCTGTGGGTCTTAAAGGGTTAAAGGTCAGTGCGTAGTGACACACCTCGCAGTGAACGCTTCCAGTTACGTCCCTCACCCTCCAAAACCCGTCACACTGCCCCGAGGCGCGTCCATCACACAGAAGGCCGATCAGGAGGAGGTTGGTGCGTGGGAGGGCTTTGTGATTAGGCACGGCTTGCTCCGCCTCCTCGGCCCGTTCTCTGTACTGACCGGTGCTCCAGGTGAGGCTGCTGCAGCAGGACGTGCGCTGCCTGCTCAGCAGCTCTGAAACAGACACAAACCTGACAAAACAAACACACAAACAAACCTGGGTCATCACTCGGACGGTCAGTAAGATCCTGGTCAGCTGTTCTGGCTTTTCAGAGATTTTCATTAGCCGTCACGGCTAGAGCACTGCGAAAGAGGCAGGCGGTCACTTTACTCTTTACTTAGATCAATGAAGGGCGCAATACACAGAACTGATTACAGACCTACATAACCTGCACATAATCACAGTGATGCAGGGACTTTTAATACTGGAACAGGTTAATACAGAATGAAGTCCACCGTCATCCATACATCTGTATGTATCTGTATCCATACACTATATGCTGTAATTAACAGGTTATTACACATGATCAGATCAGAAGTCACTCATTTATTCCCTCATCTCCTCAGATCTGCTCGGACTCACGTGTAGCTGACCGGTAAAGACTGAGAGCCCACGGTTCTCCTCACGCTCCGGAGCACGGCCTCAGCCAGCTGCTCCACAGGAACCCTGAGAGAGGCTCCTACAGCGGGGTGCAGCCGGTCCCTCACCGCGGAGTACAGGTCCTGCAGCCACGCCCACTCCTGCACACACACACACACACACACACATATACACACATGCACACACACACAAACACACACACGTACAAACACACACACACAGAAACAGTCATTCTGGCTGGTTCTCTGGTTCTCAGTGAAAGAACAGAAAACACGTGGACTCATTTAGGAATTACAGAAGCTCATTACTGCGGAGCCCCTTAGGTGACACGGGGGCCACAAGTTAATATATTAAGGCTACAAGTTATGTTTCTTGTGGCCACAAATGAATACACTGAAGCCATGTGGCCACAAGAAACTTAACTTGTAGCCTTAATATATTAATTCGGGGCCTCAATATATAAAGTCGGGGCCTCAATATAATAACTTGCGGCCCTAATATATTAATTTGTGGCCTCGATATAATAACTTGTGGCCTCACTATATTAACTTATAGCCTCAATATATCAATTTGTGGCCTCAATATTTTTAACTTGTGGCCTCCATATATAAACCTGTGGCCTCAATATATCATTTAGTGGCCTCAATATATTAACTTGTGGACCAGGATTTTAACTGTGGCCTTACAGTAAGTCATTTACGTTACTCCACTAATGTCTGCACAGCGCTGTGAACAGACTCCATAAAAGCCATGATCACAGTTTGGACCAGGGGGTCAAACTCAACCACTAAAAGGCCCCTGTTTAAAAATCTCAACAGATCCGTGGACCAGAAAGCGCTTACAGTTTTATTTCTTTTTTAATCATCACTTTACTATGTGTATTTGCTATGTATGCACATACATACACTACATATATATGTGTTGTGTTTGACACATGGGGGGTCAGACAGAGAGAGAGAGCCAGAAGGAGACAGAGAGAGAGAGCCAGAAGGAGCCTCCTGGAGGTCCTGAGGGTCTTACCACTCGACTGCAGTCCTTATAGCGCTCTGTAAACTCCTCCATTCTTCTAAATCACAACGTCCACAACATCCACTGCACCCACTGCACCCACTGCACTCACTGCTGTCCCTGCTGTCACTGCGACAGTGAGACATTACTGAGCTCCTCCTCTTCAGCTCCACTCAGAGCCGCACAGGCTCGGACACGAACCCGCCCAGTTCAGCTTCACTGAATCGATTCAGAGCCGGGATTTTGATTCATTTCCAATACAAACAAAACCGGACAAATAAAACCGGAGCGCTCGCGCTAAAACCTTCAAAGCAGCCCAAACAACTTTTTCTTCCTCCTCATTTTCCTCATAGAGGAGCGATCCTGCATACTGCCCCCTACCGGACTGGAGGAGATCACACACGCACACGCGGTACAGTCTCCTGAACCTGAATCTGAATCAGGTTTAATGGCCAACACATCTAATCTACATCAGGGGTTCTCAACATTTTCCACCTCAAGGTCCACCTGTTTATCACTAGAAAGCACGAGGGCCCAGCAAAACAAGCATGTTCAACACTTTTGGGTGGCACAGCGTGTCTTATATCCCCTGAAACAGTAAACCATAACAGACTGGGAGCACAAAAGCTGGTTTTATGCCTGAAATCAGAGGCAAATTAAGCTAAAGCTTCGCTCAAGAGTGGACAGCTGACACCTTGGGGCAGTGCATTTTGTTTTTAGACAAAAAAAAGGGGCAACAAATAGATGTGGCTTTTAATATTTTAGTATATGCATTTAATATTTTTCTTATTATTAAGTCCATTTTTTCACTGATTTTTATGGCAAAGTACCATCACTGTCCCATTTTGGACCACTGGCTCCTCCTTAGTACTGGCTTGAGGACCACCAAAGGGTGCTTTGCAGCTTACTTGTGGTCTGCGGCCCAGTGCCTGAGAAACCCTGCAATAAATCACATACAATATACACTAAACACAGTTTACCAGCAATATGCAGACTATATATAATAACATACAGGCAATACACATTATTTACAAACAGAAATACACAATATACAAGCAACATACAGATTATATGGGGTCAATCAATATACCCCAGTGTGTGGTGGTGCAAACAACATTTGGGAATGAAATGGTGGTGTAGAGCAGCACGGATGAGAAGCAGGGTGTAGTAACTATCTGGAGAAGACAGGAGCAGCTATGGCCCAGCAGATGACACTACTGGTCAGTTGTATTCTGTATAGCTCTGCTGACCTGCATGTATGTAAATCCTAATTCCATTTTCTCACTGGTGTCCTTTGCATTCTTTATACTGGAATTTTGTCAGTATTTTTTACTGTAGCTACAGATCTAAGCAAAACTTTGGGCACCCCTGGTCAAATTCCATGTTGATGTTAAATTCCTAAGTGAAAATAAGTTAACACATCCTCGAGAGCAGGGTTCCTCAGCCACTGGGCTGTGGACCACCCTTTGGTGGTCCTCAGGCCAATACTGAAGAAGACCAGTGGGCCAGTAATGGCACTTTGTCATAAAATCAGTGAAACAGCAATTTATTTATTAGTAACAATGAAGTTTTCAAATGGTAAACAATATTAATAAAAGCCATGCAACAACAGCACACACTCATCTCACCCCCTGCCTCTAGAAACAAAACACACTGAGTTGTTCACTTGCAAGCAACTGGTTTTATGACGATGTTCACAGATTCATGTTGTATAAATAAAATAAAATTAAATTAAAAAATTAAAACTGCATGCTTTGCAGTAATGAATAGGTGGGCCTTGGTGTGGAGGAGACTGAGAACCCCTGCTCTACAGTGGACACACCTAATGCACAGTTACTGTTTCTTTGCTGGATTTAACACACTTGAGAAACCATAAAACATAAAATGTGGTTTTATGGGTTGCACCAGTTTTGTATAAGTTTATACTCTGGATAAGCTGGATGATGCTGGTATAGTGCTGGTTTAGGCACACCAGCGTACAAAACGCAGCGTATGCTGGTTTAGCTGGTGACCAGGCATGCTGGTCTGGGCTGTTTTTAGGAAGACTTCGTGCAGCTTCATTGTTAGAAGGGACGAAGGTGAAAAAGGTGAGACGTGTTGCTTTTCCAACATTTACAGGCTTTAACTTCTGTTCAGCGCTGCTGCCAGAGTAGCACTGAAGGACGGCGCACGCGCAGTGGAAACAAAGCGCAGGAATCGTCCACAAATTGGAGAAGCGTCTAATCTAGAGCCACATATCCTCAAACACCTTAACTCAGTAAGTAGGAGGGGGGGCCACATCTTGTGTCTTCACTGGAGCTGAATGGTCATCAGGATTTCCCACTTACAGGGTTACGGAGAAGCCGGGAATGGGGAATGTCCTGGTTTGTTCTGTTTTGTAGTCTCCTCTCCTCACTCCAGTTCAGCAGGCGGTGGTAAAGCACCTAAAGCTGATCTGAAACCCTCCAGAAGGTAAAGAAGAGCTCCAGCAGCCTGTTGGCTTAAGGTGTCCATAACCACATCAGCCGAACCCTGAGAACCTGTAAATAAAGACGGGCCTTTAAACCCAGCTGTCGGTTTTGTTTTTAGGAGTATATTTCGGTTCCAGTTTATTTATGATGAGTGAGAAAATTACTTTCAGCACATTTGGCTCAAAACGAGCCTTCTTGTTCAAATTTTCCCGCCCGGTCCACCTTAAATGGTGCAGCGGTTACGTTCTGGCGCTTTAAGGTGGAACGGGACAGTTAAAACTAGAAGCTGACTCCAACCACAGATCTAATTCCTCCCCGAACCGGGTCATATCAGCGCCTCTCCGCGGACTGGAGCCCAGGTTGGTCCCGTGTCAGATCTTCTGCTTTAGCCCTGAAACGAGGCCGTGGTCGGCTTTGTGTTCAGGAGCGGGTATAAACTGCACTCAGCTGGGTATCAGCCCGCTTTGGGGGCCGATAACGGTAGACTGCGGTTGTCTGGGGTCTTATAGAGGCTGGGTGTGTGTCTGTGTGCAGTCATTAAACGTTATAAGCGCGTCTCTGTGTGTTTATATGTCGGGTACCGCTTTGTAGCATTAGCTGTTTAGCTAACGCTCCTCGGGCTTCCTATTGGAATTTTCCCGTTCCACCTTAAATGATGCAGTAGAGTACATTCTGACGCCTCCGGCGTTCTAATAACCGCAGCAGGACTTAAGGTGGACCGGGATAATGAGAACAGGGAGCTGGCGAATAGCCGGAGACGCTAACGATACCGCAGTTCGGTCCAGAGCTGGACAGGCGAGTTAAACACAGATACGGATTTAAAAATACAGACAAATCAAAGCTTAAATCTCTGAATAAGCAGCGATATCTGTTCCCCTGGGAAAGAACACAGGGCAGGCCATGGTTCTAGATATTATTAGCGTTAGCAGCGGAACCGAGTCTGTATAACGAGTTTACATTACAGTATATCATCACTGAAAAGACCCCAAACACAGCGATTATTCGAGTTTGCGCCGTTATACGCGCAGATATTTCATAATGTTTTCACCGAAAATACCTCAAGTACAGCAATCACACAAGATTACATTATTAACAGTTTTAGATTCTCATATTTCAGAATATTATATCTGAAAATACCTCAAAAACACCAATTATATGAGTTTATATTCCAACATTATCACTGAAAAGACCTCCAATACACCAATTAAATGAGTTTATATTTCAGAGAATCATCACTGAAAAGGCCTCAAATACCGCAGTTACACAGGTTTACACTATTATACACACTGTGAACACTAATGAACAGAGGAAGTAGTCTCTGAAAAAAAACCTACAATATAGACATTTCAGGAATAACCAGTTTTACTGTTATTAGCTTTGGTACATATTTCATTTGAACTTGAGCTCAGACCTTTCTGCAGACATGGTGAAAGACCCCAACCGGCCGAAAGGCAGGACCTCTGCGTACGCGTTCTTCGTCCTGTCCTGCAGGGATGAGCTCAAAAAGAAAAGCCCCACCAGTCCAGTGAACTTCAGCACGTTCGCCAAGGACTGCTCAGAACAGTGGACGGTGAGTCCAGCGCATGCACAGAGTCTCTCGCAGTGAAATTCAAAGCTTTGGTGGTCCTCAGCTGCTGTGGGATGGGGAGTGTGGACAATGTCACTCCTTGTGTTTGTAGGCTATGAGTCCATCAGAGAAGAAGAAGTTTGAGGACATGGCGAAGGCTGACCAGGGCCGCTATGAGGAGGAGATGAAGCACTACGTTCCCCCAAAAGACGTGGGGAAGAAGGGAAAGAAGAAGGACCCCAACACTCGCAAACGACCCCCGTAAGTTATGTCTATTTAGTGCTTGTACCAGGTTTCTTCCACTTCATTTCACTCCGAGCTAGGACTGATATCTCTCTCTCTCTCTCTCTCTCTCTCTCTCTCTCTCTCTCTCTCTCTCTCGCTCTCTCTCTGCAGGTCAGCATTTTCTGTCTTCGGTTCTGAACTCAGACCCACGATGAAAAGCAAGTACCTTAACCAGAGGCAGTTTAAGAGGAGGCTGGCCTCTTCCTATTTCCCTCGTTATATCAAAACAGCGAGTCCTCAGTGAATGAGAGTAAATGGAGCTAAACGGTTAAAAACAAAATGCTAAAATAGTTTCTAATCACACAGAACTTTCCTTTAATTTCAGAAAGTAGAAGGATGTATTTCATTTCAGAAAAGATACCTATATGTTTCCTTTTTCTACAACAAACAGGTTTTAGGCAGCAGGATGCTGACATTATGTGCTGATTGGTTGGCGAGTGCAGCAGCTCATTGGCTGTTCGCGCTCACAGACGTCATGAACGTACATGAGGCACTGTTTAAAAACTCTTAAAAATATAACAGCGGTGTTAAAATGTTTTATGCTGCTCTGTGTTCAGGATATGAATGTATTGTTTTACATTAAACATGTTTAAGCATTTATAAACTATGATTTTGGTCAAATGCTCCAACCTATTCATTTTGAAATCACTCGGGAGCGCCCTCTAGTGTTCAAGAATCCCAGAAAACATTACAGAGTGTAATTCTCTCTACAAGTTGTCTGTCTTAACTATTGTGTGATTAGTTTATTAGACACCACCCATCACATGTGACAACTTATGTCTAATAAAGTAATAAGCCACGAGAGGCTTTGCGTTACTGCGATTGTATCGCGGGGAAGGGTGTTGTTAGGCATGAAGCGAAGCAGAATAAAACCCTCTTCACTGTGATAAAATCGCAGTGTCGCCCGGCCTCGAGTGGCTTACTGCTTTTATAAAACGGCGGCCAACATAAAATACATTAACATACACAATTTTTCAGAAAATAGTTTAAGTTGTTATTAATAACAATCGACATAAACCAGTATTCCACCAAGAAATTGTGGTTCCTTTAGAGTACAGTATTGTTGCCTAGCAACCATGGACCGCTGAATGGAAGAACGTTGGTCGTCCATCACTGTAAATTTCGGTCATTTAATTTTTTTTTACTTTTAGTCGTATAACAATGAACATATGATAGCGCAGCACTGTTTAATACAAAAACTTACACTTTATAAGAACTTTTTGGTCTCCAAATCACCACCACGAGTCTT